TTTATTTTTTTTTTGCTGGTCATGTGGCCTGAACTCAGGGCCTGCGTGCTGTCCCTCAGCTCTTCAGCTCCTGGCGAGCACTCTACTACTTGAGCCACAGCGCCACTTCCAGCTTTTTCTGCTTATGTGGTGCTAAGGAATCGAACCCAGGGCCTCATGCATGCAAGGCAAGCGCTCTACCACTGAGCTTCCTTCCCAGCCCCTTAGTTTTTATTTTTTAAGTGGTGTCTTACAGTTTTAAAAGAACATGATACAACAACCAAATCAATATTACTTTAGATTATTGATTGGGTCTTGGAGACTCAGAAAACAATTGTAATAAGGAGCATTATTTACAGTGGAAGACATTTGAAGATGGAGTGGATGATTAATAGACAATATTACTTGTGCTTCTTCGCATTGCTAGGCATGACAATCATGCTCCATTGCACCAGTCATTGTGTTTCCCTTATAGCTGGGATAATAGTCACATACCACCTTTGTCTCCAATCATTGAGTGAGTCTCACCAAGATGCCCATGCTAGCCTTGAACTGAAATTTGATCTCTGCCTTGCAAGTGCCTAATACAGACTTGAGCCAATTATTCTGAGAAATCCTAAATTATTTAGGTGTGTGACATTTTCTTGATGTTTACAATTTCCAAATATTATAGTTAAAAAAAAAACGGATGTGAGTCAGGTGCTTGGTGGTTCATGCCTATAATCCTAGCTACTCAGGAGTCTGAGGATCCTGATTCAAAGCTAGCCTGGGCAGTAAAGTCAATTGTAAGACTCTTCATTAACCACTTAAAAAACCAGAATAACTCTGGATCAACATAGTAGAGCTCTAGCCTTGAGCAAAAGAGTTCAGGGACAATGCCCAAGCCCTGAGTTCAAGCCCCCATGAATGACAAAAGCATGTGGCTGTGATATTAAAAATTGAAAAATTGAGGTGGAAGGTATAAAAAAGTTTATTAAGAATAGTATTATGACTCATGCTTGGAATTTTAGCTAGAGGTGGGGAACAGAAAGCCCATGCTTTGTCACCAGCAACCCCCTATCTAAACCAATAGCTGGGCGTGGAGCCTTGTGTCTGTAGTTCCAGCTACAAAATAGATTGAAGGTCGGAGGATTGCAGTCTGAAGCAGGTTCCTGGTTAAAAATGGGAGAATCTACCAAATATTAAGGCAGAGAAAGAACCATGTGTGACTGAAATGGTAGGAAAATCTGTCTAGCAAGCTTGAGACACTGAATTCAAACTCTAGTACTACCCTCCCCCCAAAAAGTAGGTATAAGTTACTTGTATATTTCATTGGAAAAGTTTAGCAAAAAATGGAAAGTATTTAGACAGTCAGTTTGAATAATGGTTCAAAATAAGAATGAAAATGATATTTTTAGTAGGTGTTATCTGAAAAAATTGAACTATTTGAAAAGTTTTAGGGTAGAAAACTTTGTTTTTGGTCAATCATGGGCTTAAAATCAGGGCCTTTGTGCTGTTCCTGAGCATTTTTGCTCAAGACTAGTGCTCTACCCCTGAGCCATAGCACCACTTCCAGTTTCCTGGTGGTTAATTGGAGATAAGAGTCTCAGACTTTCCTGCCCAAGGTGGTTTTGAACCATGATCCTCACATCTCAGCCTTTTGAGCAGCTAGGATTACTACCTGTAGAAAACTATTAAGGTGAATGTAGGCACATGCCAAATGTCCACAGAGGTTAAGGTAGTACTTAATTTTTACTGTGTAGATGTGAGGGAAATTTCTTCTTTGTATGTTACAGGTTCGTATTCAAGAGACTCAAGCAGAGCTTCCCCGGGGAAGTGTCCCTCGAAGTTTAGAAGTAATCTTAAGGGCTGAAGCTGTGGAGTCAGCTCAAGCTGGTGACAAGTGTGACTTTACAGGGACACTGATTGTTGTGCCTGATGTCTCCAAGCTTAGCACACCAGGTTGGTCATGTGTAGTGCACATTTAAGCATCTAGGTTACCTGATCTGCAGGGTATCTAGTTTCTTATATCTTTTCTGTCAACTTTTTTTTTTTTGGCCAGTCTTAGGGCTTGAACTTAGGACCTGAGCACTGTCCCTGAGCTTCTTTTGCTCAAGATTAGCACTCTACCACTTGAGCCACAGTGCCACTTCCGGCTTTATCTGTTTATGCAGTACTGAGGAATCAAACTCAGGGCTTCATGCATGCTAGGCAAGCGCTCTACCACTGAGCCACATTCCCAACCCTCCTGTCAACTTTTTTGACTGCCAGTCACACAGGGTAAGCAGATAAGTCTAATAAGAATTTAAAAAATGATTTTCTTTTTTTTTTAATTTAATTTTATTTTATTTGTGAACATACTGTACAGAGGAGTTACAATTACATGGGCAGGATATAAAAAATGATTTTCTACAGAAGATCTTGTTCTGATTGGAAGTTTTCAAAGTTTAAAAACTTTGCATATATAGCTTTGATTTGAGCCAATTGCTTTTCAGTACATTTAGTGTTTAAAATAGGAAACAACCTGCCTCATTTAATCATTTTATCTTTGAATCTTTCAGGAGCACGTGCAGAAACTAATTCCCGTGTTAGTGGTGTTGATGGATATGAGACAGAAGGCATTCGAGGACTCCGGGCCCTTGGTGTTAGGGATCTTTCTTACAGACTGGTCTTTCTTGCATGTTGTGTTGCACCAACTAACCCACGGGTAAGTCTCTGTGGATTATGACACTGGAGATCAAACTCAAAATCTTATACATGCTATTGCAAGGCAAACACTGAGCTATGTCTCCAAACCTAAGAGTGAGATTTAATAAAATGAAAAAAGTTGGGAAAGATCTCTGGCTCATTTTCATCCTCATATTAGGAATTAATAATTTTGTTCACCTCTTAAGCTTCTCAATGCTGCATGTACATACAGAATAAGCCAATATAATAATGATGATTTTGGGTAGCAGAACTCTTTAATATTTTAGGGAGGTTTTTTTTGGTTGCAGAGGAAAAACAGAGTTTGAACTTGGGATCTTAAATTGGCCTGGCATGCTTGCTCACTCTACCACATGAACTGATTTGGCTTTTTGGTGGTTATTTGAAGAGGCAATCTCCAGAACTTCTGCCTAGTACAGGCATGAGTCACTTGTGCCTAGCTGGGTTGGGTTGTTGTTGTTTGGGCATACGTTAGGTGTGGGTTTTTTTTCAGGGGTCAGGGGTATAGTTGGAATTTATTGTGACATTTCCATGTGTGTGTGTATATATAGTACATATCAATGAATCTTACCCCCTTTATCCCTCTCCTTTAATTCCTCTCCCTTTTTAAAATAGGTTTTATTCTGTGTTCATACATGCAAACCTCCCAAGCTATTCTTATCTCAGTTTCCTATTTACTTCTTTTGGCTTCTATACTAGTATTTTTTTCTTTCTTTTTTTTTTTTCTTTTTTTCTCCCATCCTCAGTTTGGAGGGAAAGAGCTCAGAGATGAAGAACAGACAGCTGAGAGCATTAAGAACCAAATGACTGTGAAGGAGTGGGAAAAAGTGTTTGAAATGAGTCAAGATAAAAATCTCTACCACAATCTTTGCACCAGCTTATTCCCTACTATACATGGTGAGAGTTCTGTTTGTCACAAACTTGAAATCAAAGTGATTATAAAGAGTGACAAGTAATTTCATTCTTTCTTTCTTTTTTGGCCAAGGGCTTGAACTCAGGGCTGGGGCACTACCCCTGAGCATCTTTTGCTCAAGGCTAGAACTCTACCACTTGAGCCACAGCACCACTTCTAGCTTTTTCTGAGTAGTTTATTAGAAAGTCTCAGACTTTCCTGCCTGGACTAGTTTTGAATCACAGTCCTCAGATTTTAGTCTCCCGAATAGCTAGCATTAAAGGTGTGAGCCACTAGCACCCAGCACATTTGTGAGATCATGAAAGTTTTATCATTGGCTTAGAAGGGGTCACTTAAGAAACATACCCAGGTGCCAGTGGCTCACCTATAATCCTAGCAACTCAAGAGGCTGAGATCTATGGATCACTGTTCAAAGCCAGCTCAGGCAATAAAGTTCCTATATTTATCTCTAATAAACTACTTAAATGCTGGAAGTAGAGCTATGGCTCAAGAGACAAGAGTGCTAGCCTTCAACAAAAAAGCATGGGGACAGTGCCCAGATCCTTAATTCAAGCCCCAGAACTGGCATTAAAAAAAAACATGATCTCACTTCTGTGAGGTACCTAGACATAGTTAGAGACACAGGTAGATTAGAAGTAAAAGCAATTGGTGAATTGGGAGAAATTGAATTGTTGAATGTATAGAGTTTCTGTGATGATAAAAAACATTGTAGCCGGGCGCTGGTGGCTCACGCCTGTAATCCTAGCTACTCAGGAGGCTGAGATCTGAGGATTGCGGTTCAAAGCCAGCCCGGGCAGGAGAGACCGTGAGACTCCTATCTCCAATAAACCACCAGAAAACCGGAAGTGGCGCTGTAGCTCAAGTGGTAGGGCGCTCGCCTTGAGCTGAAGAGCTGAAGGACAGCGCCCAGGCCCAGAGTTCAAGCCCCACGGCCGACCAAAAAAAAAAAAAAAACATTGTAAAAAGGCCTTGTTTTAACAGTAATATGAAAAGTGCATGAGTTGAGCACAAGTGTCTCAGTACTTATGTAATCTTAGTTCCTGAGGAGGCTGAGACCTGAGGATCAAGGTTTGAAGCCAGAAAAAAATCCAAAAAAAACTCTTAACCTGCAATTAACCAGCAGAAAGCTGGAAGTAGAGGTTTGGCTGAAGTGGTAGGTAAACCAGCAGTGATCAGAAAAGCTGAGTGAGGCCAGACCCGTAATCCTGTACTCAGGAAGCTGAGATCCAAGGATTGAGGTTTAAAGCCAGTCTGAGCTGGAAAGTTCATGAGATTTTTTTTTTTTAACTTTTAATGTGTCTATTTTTTTTTCCCCTTTTTTGTCATTGTGGAGCTTGAACTCTGGGCTTGGGCTTGGCCACTGTCCCTGCACTCTTCAACTACGGCTCTACCGCTTGAGCCACAGCGCTACTTCTTTCATGAGATTCTTGTCTCCAATTAATTACAAAAAAAGCCAAAAGTGGCACTGTGGCTCAAGTAGAGCGGCCAAATTCAGTTTGAGCCCCACAGCTGGTCAAAAGACGCTGAGTGAGGCCCTGAATTCAAGCCCCTATATCATAAAAAGGAATATCTAATGTAACTGAACCCAACAATTAAAAATGTCCTATTGAAATGTCCTAGCTATATAGTCCAAACTGTCTGTAGTTCTGTTTCAAGCCTCCCAAATGCTGAAACTGTTTGTCCTTGGTACTGGGATTTTGAATTCAATGTCATACTTACTATGTAAATGCTCTCTTACTTGAGCCATATCTTCCATCTCTTTTTGCTTTATTTTTCAGATAGGGTCTTGTTCTTTTACCCAGGTCAGCCGCAGACCATGATGTTCTTTTTTTTTTTTTTTTGCCAGTCCTGGGGCTTGAAGTCAGTGTTGGGTATTGTCCCAAGCTTCTTTTTTTGTTCAAGGCTGGCACTCTTATCACTTGAGCCACAGCACCACTTTCTGGCTTTTTGTTTGTTTGTTTTTGTTTATGTGATATTGAGGAATCAAACCGAGGGCTTCATACATGCTAGGCAAGCACATTGCCTCTAATCCACATTCTCTCAGCCCATGATACTCTTTTTTTTTTTGTTGTTGGGCATGGAGCTTGAACTCTGGGCCTGGGCTCTGCCCCTCTTCAACTCAAGGTTAGTGCTCTACCACTTGAGCCACAGCACCACTTCTGGTTTTCTGGTGGTTAATTGGAGATAAGAGTCTCATGGACTTTGTTGCCTGGGCTGGCTTTGAACCACGATCCTCAGATCTCAGCCTCCTGAGTATCAGTTAGGATTATAGGCATAAGCCACTAGCACCCAGCAGCCCATGATATTCCTGAGGATAGATATGAGCCATACTATCAGATTTAGTGGAACTGCAAAACTGCATTAGACCTGCAAATGGACTGGAGGTGTGATGCTTGCTTTCAATTGTTGTGGGCTACAGTTCATTTATTTGTAGGGAGAAATCTTTTTTTTTTTTTTGTCGGTCATGGGGCTTGAACTCTGGGCCTGGGCGCTGTCCCTCAGCTCTTCAGCTCAAGGCGAGCACTCTACCACTTGAGCTACAGCGCCACTTCCGGTTTTCTGGTGGTTTATTGGAGATAGGAGTCTCACGGTCTCTCCTGCCCGGGCTGGCTTTGAACCGCAATCCTCAGATCTCAGCCTCCTGAGTAGCTAGGATTACAGGCGTGAGCCACCAGCGCCCGGCTGGGAGAAATCTTTGAGGGAAAGATTTTGTGTAAAAAGTAGGACTTTAAGGACAAAGAAAGACTCTTAAAATGATGAGCAGAAGTCTTTGACATCTATGATATGGAAGACATTGCTCATAACTTCACAGAGCAAGAACTAAGATTACTAAGACAGTATTTTGTGCCAGTCTTATGCTTTGCTTGAGCTGTGTCTGCATTGTGGTTGGTAAACATGTCGTTTGTAGTTTCCTTTGGAATCACTTCATTTTTAAGTTTTTCATGTATGGCTTTCTTTTCATTTCAGGCAATGATGAAGTAAAACGGGGTGTTCTGCTGATGCTCTTTGGTGGTGTTCCAAAGACAACAGGGGAAGGGACCTCTCTTCGAGGGGACATAAATGTTTGCATTGTAGGTGACCCAAGTACAGCTAAGAGCCAATTTCTGAAGTAAGTGTTTGCTTTATGAGAAATGCAGTTCCAGCTTTCTATATTATTAAGAAAACAGTAAGTGCAGTTTTACTAGAGTTGGAGTGTATATTACAACTGCATATAATTTACTACTTAAATGCTTTTTTTTTTTATTTTTGTCATGGGCGCTGTCCCTGAGCTCTTCAGCTTAAGGTGAGTGCTTTACCACTTAAGCCACAGCTCCAGTTCTGGTTTTCTGGTGGTTAATTGGAGATAAGAGTATAGTAGACTTTCTTGCCCAGGCTGGCTTTGAACCGTGATCCTCAGATCTCAGCCTCCTGAGTAGCTAGGATTACAGTCATAAGCCAACAGCGCCTGACAAACACATGATTTCTTTTTCTTTGTCAGTCGTGGGGCTTGAACTCTGGGCTTGAGCACTGTCCCTCAGCTCTTCAGCTCAAGGCAAGTGCTCTACTGCTTGAGCCACAGTGCCACTTCTGGTTTTCTAGTGGTTTATTGGAGATAAGAGTCTCATGGACTTTCCTTGCCCTGGCTGGTTTTGAACCGAGATCCTCAGATCTCAGCCTTCTGAGTATCTAGGATGACAGGCATGAGCCACCGGGCGCCTGGCTGTTTTGGGTTTTGAGACAAGGTTTGCTATGTAGCCCAGGCTAGAACTTGGTTATATTCCTACTTCAATTTTATGAGTGCTGCAATTACAGATGTATGCCACCATACCTAGCTTCTTGATCAATTTATAGGTGAGAAGCGATTCATTTGTACTACATTAAGCTGCTTTTTCCTGTATTTTTGTAGGAGAATGGTAACGTGGTATTATTGTTGTAGGACTTTATTGTTGTTGTTTCTGGTTTTGTTTTGACAAAACTGAGATTTGAACTCAGGGCCTTGCACTTGCAAAGCTTGTATTCTACCTCTTGAACCCATGCTTTCAGCTCTTTTTGCTTTAGTTACCTTTTTGGTAGGGGTCTTGCTTTATTCCCCAGGCTGGCTGGACATGTAGGTCTTATGCTTTCTAAGTAACTATGTGACAGGCAGGTAACACCTGTACCAGCTTTTTAATGGTTTAAAGGGGTCTTGAGAACATATTACCTAGGCTGGCCTCAGTCTCTCTTTTCTCCATCTCAGTCTCCAGAGTAGCTTGAATAATAGGCATGAGCCACTGCACCTGGCTGTTTGTTGAAACTAACATGGTGGCTGGTAGCAACTCTGTCACAGACTGGTTTGTTTCCTTAGTGCTTGGGATTGAACCCAGTGACTGCCATATGCTAGACTCATGCTCTGTTATTTGAACCATATCCCTGTCCATACTGACTGGATTTTAGACTTGAAAATAACAGTCCTATGTTAAAAATAACTTTTAAGTCTTTTCATTTCCTGTACTCCGTCCTGGCCAAAACAAACAAAAGTTACCCACTGTATTGCCTCTGATAGTAGTATTATACTGTATAATATATTGGGCCTTACGTATATGGTGAGTTTTTTTTTTTATTGTAAAGATACTATACAGAGGGTTACAGTTACATGAGTGAGGTAATGAGTACACTTCCTCTTGAACATTGTTCGCCCCTCCATTTTTTTCCCCCTCCCCTCCCCTCCCTCCCTCCCTTCCCCGAAGTTTTTTTTTTTTTTTTTGATTGTGATTAAGTGATTACATAGTTTCTAAGTCACAAGTTCATTCTAACTTTCCTGGAGCAAATTGTCTATCACAGTCTGTAATATATAACAGTGTTCACATGTTATACACCATACATGTGATCAGCAGCGTGGGGATATTTAGTAGTGGTTCAAATATGGTGAGTTTTTTAATGTAGTCTTTATTGAGATATAACTTATATTGTGTACCATAAAGTTCACCTCTTTAACGTACATAGTTTAGTGTTTTTGATGTCATTACAGGATTGTAAAACATTATTGAACTATGTTTAGAATAGGACATTTTTATTAACCAAAAGAAACGCTTTCAATTAGTAATCACTCCCCATTTTCCCTGATAGAAACAGATAATCTACTATATTGAGTTAAGCATTCCATATAAGTAGAATTAAATAATATATGGTCTTTTGGCTTCTGCTTCACATAAAGTTTTCAAGATTTCATCATGTTGTAAAATTGGTCAAAATTTTATTTCATTGCTGAAGAGTATTTCATTACATTGTATGTTTTTTGTCATCACAAATACCTGAGATAAACAAAGGAGGTTGACAATTTCAGAGGTTTGTTCAAGGTCATTCAGTTTCATGGCAGAGCATCATTGTAGAGAGGATGATGAGGCAGGGCTGCTGACCTTACAGTAGCTGGAAGCTGAGAGAATGTAAGACAGGAAGGACCTTAGGACAAGTAAAATCTTTCTAGGGCATGCTCATAATTACCTCCTTCCTCCAGTTAGGCTTTACCTGTGATTTTCCTCCACCTTTTAAAATTGACATCAGATAATGCATCAAGGGACTAATCAGTCAGAACCCTCATGATCCAATCACTTTTTTTTATTGTAAAGATACTATACAGAGGGTTACAGTTACATCCAAACACTTTTTAATGTTGGGATTAAGTCTTTGGGAATATGCTTCATATCCAAATCATAATGTTCCACATTTAATGTATCTGTTCCTCTGTTAACAGACATCTGGTTTGTTTTGGCTCTTATAAATTGTGCTGCTGTAAACATAAGAAAAATTTTCCCCATGTATTTGTTACCCCTCTGTACGGTATTTTCACAAGAAAAAATTTCCCCTGTTTTGCTTAAAAGGGAATTAGAAGCCAGGCTTAGCTGGGTGCTGGTGGCTCACACCTGTAATCCCATCTACTCAGGAGGCTGAGATCTGAGGATTGAGGTTCAAAGCTAGGCAGGCAGGAAAGTCAGTGAGACTCTTCTCTCCAATTAGCCACCAGAAAACCTGAATTGGTAACTCAAAGTGGTAGAGCATTATCCTTGAGTTAAAAAAACTCAAGGTCAGTGCCCAGGTGCTGAGTTCAAATCCCACACCTGACCAGGAAAAAAAAAAGTAGGACTAGGCTCTGACTTTCTCTTCTCATCTCTTTGTGACAATGGATTTGAACATAGAGAGCCTAGGCTGTACTGCTGAAACCACACCTGCAGCCCTCTTTTTTTTCTTTTGGTCATGGGGCTTGGACTCTGGGCCTGGGCACTGTCCCTGAGTTCTTCAGCTCAAGGCTAGTGCTTTACCATTTGAGCCACAGCGCCACTTCTGGTTTTCTAGTGGTTTATTGGAGATAAGAGTCACATGGACTTTCCTGTCCCGGCTGGCTTTGACTGTGATCCTCAGATCTCAGCCTCTTGTGTATCTAGGATTACAGGCATGAGCCACCGACACCCGGCTAACCTGCAGCCCTTTTTAATCATAGTTTTAGCTTTTAAATTTAGATCTTTCCCAGCTGGACACTAGTGGCTTATGCCTTGTAATTGTAGCTACTCAGGAAGTGGAGATGTGGAGGATTATAATTCAAAACTAGCCTAGCAAAAGAATCCAAGAGACTCTTATCTCTAACCAGCAAAAATCCAGGATGGAGGTATGGCTGAGGTCAGAGTGCTAGCTGAGCAAACTCAAAGCTCTGAGTTCAAGTTTCAGTTCAGGGGTCTTTCCCATGATTTAATTGTTGAATATTATATAAAGCATAATTGTATATAGTTTTTTAGTTTTGCACATACCTAATTTTCCAATACTCAGACTTTTTCTTCTCCCTTATTTTAACACTCTTAAGAAATTAGTTAAACGGAGCTGGGAAGGTAGCTCAGTGGTAGAGTGCTTGCCTTGCATGCATGAGGCCCTTGGTTCGATTCCCCAGCACCACATAAGCAAAAAGAAAAAAAAAGCCGGAAGTGGCACTGTGGCTCAAGTGGTAGAGCACTAGCCTTGAGCTGAAGAGCTGAGGGACAGCACCCAGGCCCAGAGTTCAGGCCCCACAACCGGACCCCCCCCCAAAAAAAAAAAGAAATTAGTTAAACCATAAATTTGAGAAGCCTCCAACTGTTACTTGTAAATTAATTTGGCTAGTCTTGGGTTCCTTGAGTTTTAGGAACTATGTAGAAGTCAGCTGAGCTATAGATAATGGTATTTGGGTTTTGTTTGGTTTTGTTTTTTGGCCAGTCATGGGGCCTAAACTCTGGGCCTGGGTGCTGTCCCTCAGCTCTTCAGCTCAAGGCTAGTGCTCCACCACTTGAGCAACAGTGCCACTTCTGGCTTTTTCTGCTTATGTGGTGCTGAGGAATCAAACCCAGGGCCTCATGTATGCAAGGCAAGCACCCTACCACTCAGCCACCTTCCCAGCCCTGTTTGTTTTAAAACTATTGTTTTTGGTTCTGGGAATCAAACCCAGGATGTTGGATTTGTTAGGCAAGTGCTTTGTCACTGAGCTACATCCTAGCTTAATAATGGTATTTTCAACATTCATGATATTAGATCCTGATCAACCTCACCTGCTCCATTGCTCCACTTTTCTTATCCCTACTCAAAACCACTCCTATAGGCTTCATTATTCTTTTTTTTTTGGTTGGTCATGGGGCCTGGGTGCTGTCCTTCAGCTCTTCAGCTCAAGGCTAGTGCTCTACCACTTAAGCCACAGTGCCACTTTCGGCTTTTTTCTTTTTGCTTATGTGGTGCTGAGGAACCGAACCCAGGGCCTCCCGCATACAAGGCAAGTACTCTACCTCTGAGTCACCTTCCCAGCCCTTCATTATTCTTTTTTAATGGACCAATCTTCCCCTTTCATACTCCTCAACAGAATCTACCCTACTTTCTTGTCCATGTCTTCTACTTTTTTTGTGTGTGAATTAATTAAACGAAGGGGTTTCACCATGGTATTTTGGATATCATACATTATATTTTGTTCAGAATAACTCTTCATTATATTTTGTTTAGAAATAACTTAGTGCTTTTTCTTTCCCCTCCCCCAACCTCAGCTTTCACTGAGATTGCTTTTGTCATCTTCATACATAGTTACAGTGTATTTTGTTGTTTTTTTTTTGTTTTTGCCAGTCCTGGGGCTTAAACTCAGCTTGGACTCTATCCCTGAGCTTCTCTGTGCTCAAGGCTAGCACTATACTACTTGAACCACAGCACAGCTTTTTCTATTTATGTGGTACTGAGGGATCAAACCCAGAGCTTTGTGCATGCTAAGCAAGCACTCTACCACTAAGCTACATTCTAAGCCCATACAATGTATTTTGAAATTACCCTTGACCTTTCCTTTTCTCATTCCCTTCTCATCTCCCCAAATAGTCCCATAGTTGTGTGTGTGTGTAATATACAAATATATAACATTAGTTTTGATGTTGTAAATGGACTTACTCTCTTGATCTCATTCTTTTGGGCTATTCATTGCAAGTATAGAGAAATTTGCTTTTTTTTTGTTGGTCATGTGGCCTGAACTCTGGGCCTGGGCGCTGTCCCCCAGCTCTTCAGCTCAAGGCTAGCGCGCTACCTCTTGAGCCACAGCACCATTTCCGGATTTTTCTGCTTATGTGGTGCTGGGGAATCGAACCCAGGGCCTCATGCATGCAAGGCAAGCACTCTACCACTAAGCCACCTTCCCAGCTCCCTTTTTTTTGCCGGGGGTAGGGGGTGGGTGGGGGAGTCGGTCATGGGGCATGACCGACTCTGGGCCTGGGCAGTGTCCCCCAGCTCTTCAGCTCAAGGCTAGCGCTCTACCACTTCAGCCTCAGCACCACTTCTGGGTTTTCTGGAGAGTCTCAGGGACTTCTTCCCCAGGCTGGCTTTGAACCATGATCCTCAGACCTCAGCCTCCTAAGTAGCTAGGATTGTAGGCTTGAGACATGCTATAGATTTCTTAGATCCTTTTAAGTAGTTTAAGGGAAAGTCCTTTATCAACTTTGAACAGTGACTGTTGTTCTTAATTTACTGTAGGTTTTTCTGTTTCTTGTTTTATTCTGGTCCTAGGGCTTGAACTCAGAACATGAATGCTATCCCTGAGTTTTGTTTTTGTTTTGGTGCTGGTCATGGGGCTTGAACTCAAGGCCTGGGCACTGTCCCTGAGCTGTACTTGCTCATGGCTAGTGCTCTACAATCTGAGCCACAGTTCCACTTGGGCTTTTTGGGTGGTTAATTGGAGAGGGTCTCAAGGGAGCTGGGTGCTCTCACACCTGTAATCCTAGCTATTCAGGAGGCTGAGATCTGAGGATTAGGGTTCAAAGCCCTGGCAGGAAAATCTGTGAGACTCAAGAGTCTCAGGCCCAGAGTTTAAGCCCCATGACTGACCCCAAAAAAAGACTCTCAAGCTGGCTTTTGAACCATGATCCTTAGATCTCAGCCTCCTGAGTAGCTAGGATTACAGGCATGAGCTACCAGTGTCTGGCTATCTCTGAGATCTTTTTGTTCAAAGTTAACTAGGATTCTACCACTTGAGCCACAGCTCTACTTCTGGCTTTTTGTGTTTATTGCAGATAAAAAATCTTGGGGACTTTTCCTCTCTTGTGGACTTGACTGCCTCTGCTAGCTCCATGATCCTCAGATCTCAGCCTCCTGAATAGCTAGGTTTACAAGCATGAGCCACCAGCACTCAGCGTTGATAATTATGGAAACTTGTTGGATTTTGTCAAATGCTCTTTGTACATCTATTTAATTTATGGTGTGTGTACATGTGTCCATGTCTGTATGGAGCTTGAACTTCAGGACTCATGCCCTAGTTAGGCTTTTGGGCTCATAGCAGGTGCTCTACCACTTGAGCCACAACTCCACTTTGAGCTTTTTGCTGGTTATGGAGGTAAAAGTCCCAGGTATGTCTGCCTGGGCTGGTTTAAAACCATGATTCAGATCTCAGATTCCTGAGTAGGTAGGATTATAGGCCTGAGGTACTGGCCTGTGGCAGTTTTAGGTTTCTTTATCCTTACTGATTTCAGATGTTAAACTAATCTTGCATTTCTGAAATCCTAAGTCTTTTGTGTTGTTACTTCTAGTTGCAAAACCTTTTTTTTTTTTTTTAAGGAAGGATTTATTTTGGTTCGTGGTACCCGAGATTCAGTCTGCAGTTGACAGTTGGTTGACCCCAGAGGCTTGGGCTAAATGTCAAATGAGTGAGAATGTATAGTGGAAGTTCATGGCAGATAGGAAACAGAGGAGGGGAAATCAGATTCATGTTTGATCTGCTGGATAATGCAGCTTATGTTGTCTGTCCATGATGCTGATAATGGTTTGCTTCAGCATGGAGTTAGGACCACTGAACTTACCCTCTCTTCTACCCATTCTTCACCATGCTTTCTGTTACTAGTACTGAGCACAATTCTTATTGGTCACTCAGCCCTAGGGCTTATAAGACTAGTTGCAAATTCTTGGAGAGGATTTTTGTTGCTAAAGTGTTATTAAATTCTCATAAAATGGGTATTTTTATCAGTTGTCTGATGTTCTTTGTTTTCTGTTTGACAGTAATGGATCTATTTTAAAAGCCAAAGGAGATGAAGCTTCCTGTTTATCTGTGGCATGTCTTTATGAATTGCTTGAACTTAGAGCTGTTCTCATATTCTTTCAGAATTTTGAATTGTTGAGGGACATGACTCCTATCAGAGTTATTTTTGGAAAAGGTACTGTGTAATCACATACTAATGAGTGTGTTTGATAATGTTGAACAGGCATGTGGAAGAATTCAGCCCCAGAGCTGTCTACACCAGTGGCAAAGCATCCAGTGCTGCTGGTTTAACAGCAGCTGTTGTGAGAGATGAAGAATCTCATGAATTTGTCATTGAGGCTGGAGCTTTGATGCTGGCTGATAATGTAAGAACAGATATAAGGAATCAGAATACTCCCTATTCAACCTGTAACTGATTATCTATATAAATAGATATGTATGCTGGTATATATTGCATTTATCTGTGTCTTTTATATAGATCACTTAAACCTATGTGTGCATGTAAGTTATGGTAATACACACTTATATTCATTGTATTCCACCTTCATCTCTTTCTAGCCTAAAAATGCTGAAGTGACCCTGGCTCCCTTGACACTAAGGGCTAGTATCTGGGTTTTTTTGTGTGTGGTTTTTATTTTTGTTTTTGTCTTCAATTTTTTTTATTGTGATCAAGTGGTTACATAATTTCCCAAATTTCACAGTATTGTGGGATAGTGATGCTTAGTTAAAGTCACAAACACATTCTAGCTTTCATGGAGCAAATTGTCTATCACGGTTTATAACATTTATGAGTTCTATGAGCTTTGCAGTACAGTTATTTCTTCCATATTGGGTGATGTTTTTTGGTTTTTTTTTTAGTTGGTTATAGGCCTTGAACTCTGGGCCTGGGTGCTGTCCTGAGCTCTTCAGATCAAGGCCCAGTGCTCTACCACTTGAGCCACAGTGCCACTTCTGGTTTTCTGGTGCTTAACTGGAGATAAGAGTTTCATGGCCTTTCCTGCCGAGGCTGGCTTTGAACCACAATCCTCAGATCTCAACCTCCTGAGTAGCTAAGATTACAGGGTGAGCCACTGGCACCTGGCACTTCTGCCTTTTCAAATGTTTATGTGATACTGAGGAATCGAGCACAGGGTTTCATGCATGCACTCTACCACTAAGCCACATTCCTGGCCCTATCTATATATTTTCAGTTGGCTTTTGGCTCTGAAACCATTCAACTATCTTGCTCAAAAGAGGGAATTAGGACTATTTAACTATTTGACTTGTTTGAAGTTCTCTGGACATAAATTTGTTAGCCGTTTTTACATCTTCAAGGCAGTTTTAATGCTGCATGTATGTTTGTTATAGGGTGTGTGTTGTATTGATGAATTTGATAAGATGGATGTGCGAGATCAAGTTGCTATTCATGAAGCTATGGAACAACAGACCATATCCATCACTAAAGCAGGTGTAAAGGTATGAGTATCTTTTTTTTTTTTTTTTTGGTCGGTCATGAGGCTTGAACTCTGGGCTTGGGTGCTATCCCTCAGCTCTTCAGCTCAAAGCGAGTGCTCTACCACTTGAGCCACAGTGCCATTTCCAATTTTCTAGTGGATTATTGGAAATAAGTCTCACGGAGTTTCTTGCCCAGGCTGGCTTTGAATCTCGATCCTCAGATATCAGCCTCCTGAGTATCTAGGATTACAGGCGTGAGCCACCAGCACCAGGCTGTGTATCCATTTTTGTTCCACTGCATTGTGCTTAAACTTTGTAGATTAGTGTAGTAATAGAGAAATCCATTACTTCACCATGTGTTGATGTTTTTAAGATGGAAATTACATCCCTGAGAACTGTCAGCCCAAAATGAAGTTTAAGATACTGTGTAAAATATTTACTGTGTTAAAATAATCATACTAGTAAAAGGTTGAGCGTTTCATTTCTCAAAACTAAACATTGACAGATTATTTAACAAAATTAAATATTGTAACCCTTATTAGAAAGAATCTTAAATTTTCAAATACAGCAATAGATTTGAACAGAGAAAAATGTATTACACAAAAGTAGAAATCTAAAGAAGATATTCCCCTTTAATTTCTCAGCACAGAAAACTGGTATATATTGGGTATATGTCCTGTTATGACATATTCCTGTTAGAATAAACAAGTACAAAAATTAATAATTTCATTTTTGGCAATCTTTCCATACCAGCATATTCTAGATCAACTTTTATTTGTTTTTATGCCATGATATTCGAGGGTATATATCTTTAGACTCTGATAGAGTACTGTTGTGGACTAATTTTCAGTGTCTTGTATGATGAACTATAATGAACATTCATGAACACATTATTTTCTTTTACCTAATTGTAAGATAAATGCCTAGCAAAAGTACTTGTTTAAACGGTGTACACAAATACCACCAGCTTTGTGCAGGAGTGCCTGTTTGCTGTACTAACTGTATATTACCAGATTTTACTTTTGATATTGCTCATTGTTTTAGACATCAGTTTTTTGTTTTTGTTTTTTTTCTTTTGCGATTAGGCAACTTTGAATGCCCGGACATCCATCTTGGCAGCAGCAAATCCAGTCAGTGGACACTATGACAGGTCAAAGTCATTAAAACAGAATATAAATTTGTCAGCTCCTATCATGTCTCGATTTGATCTCTTCTTTATCCTGGTTGATGAATGCAATGAGGTAACCACACGAGCTGTTCGTTTGCTTTATTTCCAATTTGAATAATTGAGCAAGCAAGGCTGAAGGGTCACGCTCAACAGCTGGTGCATGTACATACATTGAGCTTTCATTTCCCTTGAGTAGCATAAGAGTGAGCAAAGGAGTTAGTAAAAAACTTCAATATGGTAATTTTAATTGCTGGCTCTATACAGTGATGTTGAAAATAGTTTTGGGGTTTTGGTACTGTTTTTAAATCTCAAAAGAAAGAGGAGTTACAGTTGATTGCCAGCCCACTAAGATTTCCCCCCCCCCTCCTTGTTTTTGTTTGGGTTTTTGTTTAGGTTCTCTATGTAGGCTAAGCTGACCTCAGAGTCAGGATCCCCTTGTCTTAACCTACCAAGTGTTGGGATTATAAGTGTACGTTCCCATGCCTAACTTCTCTGAAATCTTTTTTTTGGGGGAGGTCTGGTCATGGGGCCTGAACTCTGGGCCTGGGCGCTGTCCCTCAGCTCTTCAGCTCAAGGCAAGAGCTCTACCACTGAGCCACCTTCCCAGCCCTCTCTGAAATTTTTATAAAAATATTTTTATCTGACTTTCCAGTTAGCTTAGAAGAAATTAGGATATCAGTTTTCTTCCAAATCATAAGTCATTCATCTTCCTATTTCTTCCCCAGGTTGTGTAAGATTACATATGTTCTTAGCTGATGATTCAGTACTTTTAACACTTAAGTAAATTTCTTTATTTCCTCGTTCCCCCTCCAAAAAAACAAAATTAGATGAAAAATTCTAAGATTATTTGTACTTAAGCTTATAGTAGAGATAGCTAATGCTGTATTAAGCTGTACTTTTAAATTGCTGAGCATGAAGATTTTTCCATTTGAGCAGACACAGTGTAAAACTTGGAATGGAACTTTTAGATACTATCTAAATAAAACCTGGCTTTCATTGTGTTCATAAATGAGTTATTAGAGTATCAATTTATAAATCTTTAAACTTTTTAGATAGTAAATTTTTTTCTCAATTAAAAATATTTTTTAGGTTTTTTTTTTTTTTTGTCGGTCATGGGGCTTGAACTCTGGGCCTGGGCGCTGTCCTTCAGCTCTTCAGCTCAAGGTGAGCGCTCTACCACTTGAGCTACAGCGCCACTTC